TGTTCCCGCCCACCGCTGCGCACCAGGGAGTCGGAGGAGGCAGCCTACGCGGAAGTCAGTCGCTCCTCCGGGCCATCGTCCGGCTCTGGGATCTGGGTTAGGCTAGTCTAGCCTAGAGAGTCCGCCAGCAGCGTCACTCAGGCCAGGCACTTTTCTCCAATCCCGTCCGAGAGGGGAATGGCGCCCAGAGAGATCTCCGCTAGAGTCAAACTGTGGTGGGGGGTCAGATTCTCACTCACCTCGCCACCAGTCAGTTTTCGTGTACACCTCTGTCCGTCCTTTTTTTTTTTCGACTCCGTTCTCCCGTTCCCAGAGCTCGGCGCTCCCAGAGCTCGGCGCGTCTCTCCTTGCTGAGCCGCTGTGGAGATAGCCGGCCGCCGCACGGCGGGAAATCCAAACCGGTTTCCGATGGCGCGGAGTCGAGCCTCCACACCGAGATTTTTCTGTTCCTATTTTAGCGCCAGGACTGTATTCCAAGTTGGATTCTCTCAGCCCAGTTCGTTCCTGAGTCAGCAGAGCATATCTCTACTGATTCGTGTCTCCCTAGTCCGCATTATTTCTGGCCTCTGAGCCGAACCTTTCAGAGAGCCTCTGGTAGTTGCTGTTGTCTGTCCGCCATGTTCTCTGGTCTCCCCAGATTTTATATTGAATTAAGGAGTGTATATACATTCCTTATCCTTCCCTTAAATAATGTAATATAAGGAGTGATAAATAACAATGAAGTACTAAAATATTTATATTTATTAAATGTTTTTATATCTATAAACAATAACATATGCTATAGTAGATATGTTTTTATATCTATTTAAATATATGGTTCTATGTAGAACCAGGGCTTATGCTTAAATAAGTTTTAATCATACCAAATAATACATAAGCAGATGAATTTTTAACAGAAAACATCTACTGACTAGAAATTATAACTTAAAGTGACTTTTTAAAGTGTTTTGTTTAAGAAACCTATACTAAAGATCATCTGCAAAATAGGTACAAATAAAAATTATGAATGTTTGTGTTGTCAGGCTTGCTATTAGAAAGTCCAGGCTGAAATTTTAAGTTCCTTTGCATTAAGATATATCTTTTAACTATTACTGTGCTATTTTATGCAGCTCTTTGAAATTTTATTTTTATTTATTTAATTAGTTCATTGTTGTAGCAAGTAATGACTACATATATTGTGGAAAATTACTGTATAAAACTTGAAGCAGAAATTTCTGATGTGTACCATGTGTTTTTAAGTGTATATTTATAATCTTGTGCATATAAAACTGATGAAAAAGAGGCCATATTGTTTGCTTTAAGTCTCTTGAACTAGGAGCTGTACATCTAGTATTGAGTGAATCTTAGTTACCTGTCATTGAAAGAAAAGTGATAGGTAATCTTTTAAGTCCATGATAAAAATGATTTAATTTTTATCCTCAGGAAAAAAATTCATATTCATTTTACTTTTGTCTTAGTTTCATAACATGTAAGAGACACAAATAGTCATGGTTCCAGTGAAGAAGCAAGAAATAGAAACTGATGATCAAAAGAGAAAATCATTTAGACCAAAGCTCCAGTTTAAATCGGGCCTTCCCCCAATTCTTTCTTGTTCTTATTCACTAGAATCACTTCCTCTGTCTCTGTCTGTGTCTCTGTCCCTGTCTCCATCTCTGCATCTCTGTCTCTCTCTGCCTCCCTAGCTCTCTCTCTCTCTTTCAGAATTGTATTTCTGTCATTTAAAATCCTGAGCAGCATCCATGGATATCTCCAGCATCTTCAGCAACTAACCAGATATCTGTCCCAACCAAGACAGAGGTGCTCCTATTCTCTAAGTTCGGGTGATCTTAACAGACAGTCTTGTTTATTTTGTTTGTTTGGGTTCAAGTTGGTAGAGGAAAGAACATTTAAGAAATTCTGATAATGATGCCTTCACAGGGAAACTGGTTGTGTAGGACAAATGGTTACTGCTTTCTAGGTCCAGGTGAGGAAAGAGAGGACCTGTCTACCACTCTCAGTCTCTAGCCAGTCACAGCAGATGTAGTTTGTGACCTCCCTCTTCTTTTATTATTCCAGATCTTCTTACCTCCAACAGTCATCTTAATCTGCTGAAGGTCTTTGCCTTTAAAAGATATCAAAGTCTCCTTTTTTGAAAATTTTAAGGCTTTGGTTATTGTTCTAAAGTTAGATGGAAATATCATTACATTTTACAATTGGCCACAGTTTTTACCCCTAGCAGCTCTGTCATACTTCTTATATATTTTTAGACATTTATTCAATAAGACATTTCATCCTTAAAACAAGCATAATTTGTAATAGCTAATGCTTTGATTTCTTATTTTTCCTGTTTGCCTATAGACGTGAAAAAAATCTGACCTGACCAGGCAGCTAACTCAGCTTCCCAGTCAGGGAAACTAATATTGTGTTTTTTCTTATTTTACTTCTCTTTCCTGGTAAACTACATAATAATATAAACTACATAATAATAAAGAGGATTCTCTTTTTCATAGTCTTTTTGGGTCATCTTCAAGGATAGCAATAATAACATAATAATTTCAGCTTTTGTCAGAATATTATAAGGCGCAATCTATAAAGACTTTTTAATATTAAAATTATATCTCTAACTTGAAAAACAGTTTTAAACTAGATAATTGCCAACTCATGACTGGTTGCTCAGACCTGATTTTAACAGCTGTTATTTGCTGAAGAAAATATGGCACTGTGTCTATGTTTGTATATGTTACCTGGACGAAAGAACTCAGACGGCAATTTTATATTTTTTTCAAGCAAAGGCACATAGGTATCTGTCTGAAAGGCATAAAAATTCTTATGTCAAAAACTTGCTGGGAACTATAACACATGCCTTGTAAATATTTTCACTCAATAGAGTGAAACCGAATTTTGTAGCATATATACTTTGGATATCATAGTTTCCCAAGGGAGTACCAAATTAGGAATAGATGTACAGTTTGGAAAAGTACTAAGTTATAATAATTTTAATATCATCCATTATAAACACAGTTTCAAATGTTTATATAAGCTTTAATGTAAATCTAGAAGAATTTTCTAAGAAGATATAGGAGTTGAATTGAAATAGAATTCATTATTAACCAATAATTATGTGGCATTTGAAATAAATGATGAATTCTTACTTTAACATTGACTATTACAGTTATATATGAGACTTTTCTGACAGACACATAAGCCACAACCTTGGATATTTGTATGGAAAACAGTTTAGTTGAGGTAATACTTTATTTATTTTCTTTGCCATTGCACTCAGAGATCATTATAGGACAAATACTGGATTAAACAAGACATAACATTTTGGCTTCAAATATTTAATCTTCAAATTTCTTTTTAGGTTGTCTTTAGAAGCTTGCATTGTAACCTAGAGTGGAAGTGTATGATACGTTACCATTTTCATTGTTCTGAACTGTTTATATCTCAGCAGGAATAATGACATGAATAATTTGACTGTTGAGATGTGAAATCAGAGTGAACACTTGTCAAAGTTGTTTTCAGCAAAATTAGATGTTGCTAATTTAAAGTGAGTCAGAGTAATACCTTTTTGCATTTTATATATTCCATGATTTAAATTTAGATCACTTGATGTACATTTTTACTATTGGCTCATTTTTGGATCATTCAACCCTATTGTCAAATGATATTTATTAAGCGTCTGCTTATAGATTCAGAGTGACTTCTATAAAATAGCAGCTAAGAAAGGAGTGCATACCCTTTTCTTAAAAGATAATATATAGCTCTTCTGCCAAAAATGTTCATGTGTATAATGAACACAACTATGGCATTTCTACATTATTTCCAACCATTTAACTCATTTCTGTCTGCCACTTCCAATTATAAAAATCTATGTGAAATTTTAAAGTTACTTTTGAATCATTAACAGACACGTTGAGAAGCAGATTTATTGCACATTAAATTTTTATGACATACTTTAGAACGACTGCTTTTAGATTTATTTATTTATTTAGTGTGAGGAAGATGTAGAAATTAAAGTTAGAAGTTGTATTATTTAGATAAAAGAAATGTATGCTAATATTACAAAGGACCCGACTGTTGAAAAGAAAGACAATGACATGGAAACTATAAGACAAAATAATAATGGAAATAACCAGGGAGATTATGTAGGCATTTTAACTGCTACCCAGAATAAAAAAATGCTATAATACTTGAGGCTTTTCTTGCCTTAGTTCCAAATCAAGAGTGTAGTTATCAAAAAAGTATATAATTGTAATTAATGCTTTTGTTGATAAATGTAATTGTTTTTTCTCCAAGCTACATAATACCTCTTTTGCAGCTGATTGGCAAGGTCATCAACAAAATAAGCTTTGTGACACTAATTCAGTTGTGTTCATTTTGGGCTGTGAAATGTGGTAGCAATGATTAAGACTAATGTCTATATATAGGTGTGCTACATCTTTTATCTAGTAATATTTATTCTGTTCTCTATTAAAAGGAAACAAAAGTGAAATACATATTTTCCTAATGAATTAAGGGGACTAAAAGTTAATTATTTACAGATTTTCCCTTTTAGTCTTTAAAGAAAACTAGGGACTATTTCTCAAATTGATTATTTGAATACTTAATGTGCCCATGGTATATTTATAATGCGAGATTACTCTTTAATTATAAAGACAAAGTTAACTTTACCTGTCAGTAGGATATTACATATACTCATTTATTGATACATTTGTTCTCAAATGCTTCTAAAATGCTTTTTTTATTATAAACTTATTCTCTAAAATAAGTTGTAATTTTATTTTTTTGACATTCATTGCCTGTCACATCAAAGATGTCTGTCAGAAGCTTCTTCCTGAAAAGGAAAAGAGTAGGAGAAGTTGACCTTTGTGTGACAAGTTTATGATTATCACATGAGGAAACTGCTTTGCCACTTTGTGTCCCTGTTTACTCTGTTTAAACATTCCTTGGCATTTCTGATGACTGTTGAGCTTGAATTATGTATAAGCATAAGTCATTGTCTGAAACTTTCATTTTAGGTAAACAGGATTATAAAAAAACCAAACCTATTTTGCGGGCAACCAAATTAAAAGCAGAAGCTAAGAAAACAGCACTAGGCATAAAGGTAGGCTTCTACTTGATAAGTTTGTCATCTGATATGTGCATGCCATTTCATTTTCTAAAACTGGGTTGCATAAATGTTAAGTTTTAAATGCTTTTTGGCATTTCAAGATCTAAATAGAATGCTAGAATTGAAGGGTTTTGAAAAGAATTTACTTAATGGAAAATATCCTTTTTATGCTGCGATTTTGAGGGACCTTAAAATGAAACAGTGTTACTTAATGAAAGCCGGTTAAACCTAAAATCATAATTTATTTTTCTCAGCACTACTGTGTATATTGCTCAAACATTTCAGTAATGTATGTGACTTTGGTAAAAAAATTTCGTTTTCAAAAAATTTCACCTTATAATTGCTTAATTTATAATGATATATACTTAGATCATACAGTTTTACTCAGTTTCAGTATTGTTGCTGATGAAATTCTAATGGCATCCCCAAACTTATCCTTTTAGAAAACAAGTGTTTCTCTACTTATGAAGGATAAATATAACTGAGAATGATACTAACAGATATTAATTCACTGTGCTTGTTCAATAAAGTTTAACTAAATGACATTTACATTATTACCCATGGCATCTTTTTGGCAAAAATTTAGAATTTAAGTAAACTAAGTAGAAAAATTAGATTGGCAGCCCTGCAGCAAAATGCATAAAATAAAAATGACTAGGACCTATATTTTATTTAAATATTAAAATGTTAAAAGGAGATTTTGGTTTTTATCTGGCAGATGAAAAATCAATTTTTCTAAGTTATAGCTCGCAGCAAATGCCAAGGTATTACTACCAAGCTGTAACAGCTGCTGGCTTGCCAGATGATAGATTTGGTTGCCTTCCAGAATTTGCTATTATGATCATGAAACACTGCCTTCTTCCTGCCTCCAATTGCTGATTTTGATCAAGCATTGCTGAGTGACGTGGTATGTTTTCACCACACAATCTCCTCAGCAAGTGCTGTGTGTCAGTTTTTAATGAAAAAAAATTAAATTACCTTTGTGTTTGAAAGAGAGATTAATCTTTTGAAGAGTTTTTCTTACTCTCACATGAAATTTTGTTAATATTTTAAAATATTTCAGTGACATGACACGACAGTCCTTAGGTTTTTTATTTTTATTTTTCGTTCAGTTATCTATTTATTGTCTCTTATAAGAAGAGCATTTTTTATAATTGCCTTCCAAGGCAATTTGTCACTTCATTTTGTCTTTCAGAGTGTGGTAGGTTTTCTGCTTGTGGAATGAGCAGTTGTATGTTAGGATTTGAAAAATAATTCAGTCTTTCATTTACATAACTGCTTGCACACATTGTTTTTTATTCACTCTTATACTTTTTGTTATGGCTTTAGTTTATAGAAATATGTTCCCAAGATGAAATAAAATTTATATTATATTACAATTGTCTAATTTTCCTTTAAAAATAATGTAGAAATTATTTTTATGACAGTTTTTTTCTTACAGTTCCTTTAAAATATAAATTGTATACAGAAAGTTTCTAACTGATATCAAAACCTAGCTCCTTTTTAATAAGCTAGCATATCATTCTGATTTGTAAGCCTTTGGGGGGAAAAAAGACCTTGACTTTAAATATTGTTTACTTTGCTTGAAAATTTATGTGAAGAACCCATTAAAAGGATATGAAACTTTTAAGAATCAGAACTGTGAGGTGTTTTACATTTCAAGTCTAGCATACTAATTAGTTTGCCCTGTCAAACTTTGATTGCCTTGTCATTTTGGCATAGGACTTTAAATAACGAAGTTTCTTTCAGCAATTGCCATTTAATGCTTTTTAATTTCCCTAGTGAGTGATTTTATCCATATTGATAATGTCAGAGAAGCAACTAAGGACTAATGAACATCAAATATATTTGACTCTTATCTAGTTGATACAGAATGACCATTATATTGTACAATTTTATCACTTCTTATTCTTTTGGGTGAATCATAGTTATGCTCGTCAAGTAATTTAAATGTACAGAGACTATGAACAGATGCATGAAATAGAAAACTAACACCGATGAAACAACACTGAACATATGATGAGGAGGCCTAGGATCACATCACTTTTGACCCTCACTGTTGCTGAGATATCCCTGAAGTCTAAACTGCCATATTTGTAAAACGGCGATTATCTCATTTACCGCACAATATTGTCAGGAAACAAAACTAATACATGAAAACATTGAGCTTTGGACTCAGAGAGGAGAAGTCATCATGAATTGTTAACTGACCAAGAAAATATTTGTTATAATTTCTAGTCTGTATAAATCAGATTTCCCTAAAGTATTTGTCAGTGGCTTTCCCTTGCCTCAATTAGGTTTGCATTGTGTGGCTATGTTATATATTTAAGATATTTTCAGATTCCTGTAGGGGTAGTTTCATGGACATTAGTTTGGTAAAGTTTTAAAAAGTCTTATGTAATTTTAAAATTATTTTCATAGAATCATATAAATAATTCTTGATCCATTACTTAATTTAGAAATTACCGTAAGTTCTGCAATATAGTAGAATCTATGGAAAGAAAAATAAGACATGATGTCTCAGAAGAAATTGTATAAGGAATCACTTTCAGATTTAATTATCATATTAAATCAGTAATACAGTTGAGAAACCACAAGCTAGAGAAATGAACAACTTATATAATAGATTTCCAGTGCTTTTTAAAAAATGTATGTTTACTAATAGATATTTGAAGGTAACAGAAAGTAATTCCATTATAAGACATGATAGATTGTATTAAATTAGAATTAATTTCTAATTAAGAAGTTGTTTTATTTCTTGTATATTACAAATACAATATCATACTTTATGAGATACTAATGTAATGAGTATCACCAAAGAAGTATTTGCATAGCTAAGTTCTCTGTTTAGTTGCTATTAAATTAGATTCTTTTGTGAGAATTATTGCATAACTAAATTGTTTAAGAATGCAAATATCTTTTCCCCAGCATTCAAAAGGAAAAAGATGTAAATTCGATGGTTTATTTTTAAAAGATCCATTTGCAAGACATAATAAAAGAAATAAGGATCTAAAATTTAGTTTTCTTGCATAAATTAAGAATTCAATGTTAATCAGATCCTGCCAACAACCACTTGGGATGTGTAGCTTGAAATGTTATGTTCTTTTTTGGGTTGTTTCTGACTTAATGCTAAAAATGGCCCAGAGGCAGGAGCATCATAAATACTTACAGGTATCTGAATTGTAGCTGGTGTCACCAGTACCTTGAAATAATTATTTTGAAAGTTTACCATTGTTTGAATACTCCAAATATTCAGCCTCCACAATACTTGCTTCTTCGCCAAAATAGGGACTTTTTGAAGAGAACAATTTATTGCACCTCTCCATCTGATGCTTTACGTAAGTCATCTTCATGCTGTATATTATATAAAACCGACATAATTGGATAATAGACTCTTGAAAGTTGTATTCTATTAATAGTCTCTTTTTTGTTACCCTTAAAATTATTTTTCATGCCTCTGATATTCTGAGAATGTATAGGAAACATAATAGAGAGTTGCTTTAAAGATAAGCAGTTGAAAAGCAGTAATCAAAGTTGATTATCAGTAAGAGGAGAAGTATGGTCTCCAGTCAAGAATAAAAACTTTATGTTTTATTAAGCTTGGGTGAATGGCGATGGCTTTTGATCAATTTTGTTGTCCACTATACAGAACAGATGGAGTTTGCAGTTGTGTGTCACTTGTTTATTACATCCTCTTAAAATTAGTAGCTGTGTAACCAGATGGGTCTGGGAGCACAGCTGTGGATATAAGAAAATAAATGAAACCTGTCTGATGCTGCCATGCCCTTTTGAGATGCCAAAGTGTTCCAACTGTAACAAAGGAAAATTCACTTTAATTTGACATTATATTGATATATTAGATTTTAAAAGTCAGTTATTACAAAAATTGTTGATACTGAGTTTTCCAACCCCATTCTTTTTATTAATATTTATTTTCATAATTTAGGTAGTTAAGTAAATTGAATTACAAAGGTAAAGAATTTGTATAAAATATGTATCTCTAATTTCAATGTTTAGCTAAAAATTCAATGTTGAGCATGAAGCAAGTTTATTTTAAAGTTTTTCAAGTTTATTAGGTGGTATATGTTGAATTATTTATTTTACATTATTACAAAATATAAAATATTTTCAAATGGCTGTAAATGAATTGTTTCCCTATAAAGCACTGCCAGGTAAGTGATGTGATATACAAGTGAACACCAGAACAAAATATTAGGTCCTTTAGAATATTGAACTGGCATTCTGTGCTTTTCATCTATTTATCAAAATAATATGTTAATATTGATAAAGTTTATATATTTATACACACGTGCATAAACACATAAATATGCATGATAATATGATTGCCTCATAATCTGTGTGGTAAAAGTTTTAGCCATTTTAATACAGTTGGTTAATATAATCAATATCAAAGTACTAAGTGAGATACCCAGTACCTTCCTTCACTGATGTGATAAACTGTATTATATTATATTTCCTCAACTGAGTACTCATTTTTCCTCTTCTATGCATAGGCTATAGAACTTAGGATTTAAAGATTAGAGCTTGAACACTGTAATGTTTAATGAGGATGCATACAGAGACATAATCTAAAATTGGTTACTTATAATGTTTCTTCCCCTTGAAATGGAATGATAAGTATATTTGATAAATATGTATCCAAATGCTCTCACCTAATAAATGCATTAGTGAAGCAAAAAGTGAAATTAAGTATTCTCAAATACTCAACAGATAAACTATATGTACTCAGACTTCATTGCTTTCATCCAGTGTTTTGGTATCCAAACTTGAAATCTATTACAGCAACAAATTTCAATTTTACTATTAAAAAAAAACTAAATTAAAAGTATAATAAGAATGACACAGCCACTGATATACTTGCAATTGCCATGGGTATTGTCATTGGCAAAACAAATTTATTTAATGGCAAAAAGTATAAAAAAGGAATGAAATTATTAGTTTCAGATTATGCATGCTGCCTATAATGTAGAAAAATGTGATTATTTTATCTGATGACACTGATGATAATATCCTGTCTTTCTCCATCCAACTCAAGTCTACTTTTCTTTCTTTCCAGGAAGTTGGCCTTGTGCTTGCAGCTATATTGGCCCTCCTGCTGGCTTTCTATGCTTTTTTCTATCTCAGACTTTCCTCGGATGCTGAGCCTGATCTGGACCCAAATGAAGATTAGCTGAGCAGCAATCATGGCACGGAAGAAGGGTAGTGTTATGGAAGCACCTTTTGGTGCCAGCGCTCTCTGAAGTACTGAAACTACATGTTGAATGTTTTGTTCTGATACTTGCAGTGTCCAGAAATGTTTTTTTTTTACTATAATTATATAGGATAACAAGAAAAGAATGTCACCTAGCAGTGTTGTATAATGTATGCGACCAAATACTTTTATAAATCTTTTTTTTTTTTTTGGACAGGTACCCTATGTATTTTGTATTTAGATAAGATGAATAACTGATTCTAAATTCTTCAGCTTTCTTACCAAGTTTATGGCTATAACTCCTTCACATACTGATTCCTAAATCTAGTTTTGTCACATACATTGCAAAGTAAAAGTACGAAGGTTAGAAGCTCACATTCAGAGCTAAGAAGAAACAAAAATGTTTTATTTCACAAAGAAGTCCCACTCTCTTTCCAGACATATTTTGTATCATTAGCGAGACTATCTGCACATACATCCATGGTAATCTCGTCCCTTCTTTGCCAACTGTTCAGTGCACATGTGCTTCATCAGAAATGGCACCTGGATGACAGAAGCTCAAAGAGTCACATATGTCTCTCAAATAGAGTCCTTTCCCTCCTGGGCTGTCTGAACTGGTGTAAATAGAAAGTTCAGTTGATCTGGATTTTAATTAACTTATTACCCTATTAATATAAACTTGGAATTCTATTTTAATTACGTTATTCTGGCTGCCTGCAATATCAGTTTGCCCGCCTTGTTAGGGAGATATGCAACAATCTGTCATTTAATGGTGTGGTCTTTTTCACACAACAGAAATACCAGAAGTCTTACTCACAATCATTTCCTTGAATTGTGCCCCAAATTGAACAATACAAAGTTGCAGTGAAAATTACATTTTATCCCTTGAGAGTTAATCCATTAGAATGCTTTAAAAACTAGAAAGCTAAATAATAGGGAAAAAGATATGTTTCCAATTACTCTCATATGTAATTTTCTGTTTATATAGTTTTGAATGTATTTTTCATTTGTTAGAGAATAATGACTATGATGTTTAATATTTTTATTGTAATTAAATTTTAGTAGATTTTAAAAACATTTGGAATTGAAATTTGGAAAATATCTGGTCAAAGAATATGTTTAGTTCTTACATTATACACATGTACATAGAAAATGGCTAGTTTGAAATATATCCACAAGGTAAAGTTTTATGGGGTATTTGTGAAGAAAAATGCAAAATTAAGATTACATTCATACTAGCCAAGGGACAAAAGCTTTGATAAATGCCCTACAAGTTTATAGGGCTTTATAAGTACAATTTCTTTTCAAAAAGGATATTCTTCAATACTTTTGCAAAAGCTGAAATTGATAGTGTAGTATAACATTGTAGGGTTTTTTAAAGTAGCATAATTTATTTTATCAGTGTGAAAAGAGCCAAAGATTTCAGTTTCCTTGCAGATCGTTTGTGCCAAACATCCGAGGGCAAAATTTAACCAGTGTTATTTACTGGATTCTTCCTCTTGAACTCACAAACTCAAGAGACAGACCAAGAGCTCTTGTATACTCACCATCGTGGACCAATCCAAGTGGCATTTTTAGGAAAGGTTGCAGCATTTTATGCCATGTGGTATGTCTGTTCGCAAAGTGGGAGGCAAGGGAATATCCAAGCTGGCATTTTGGATATGATGGGCCTTTTACTTTCCTGAGTGACATGCCACATGTCAAGAAAAACTGCTTTCTTCCACTCCCATCACATTTACAATTTTCATTTAGTTATTTCCCTCACATATGGTGTTAAAAAACAGTCATATTAAATGAAGATTACTTCTGGTTTTCGGTGGTAATTTAAATAACAGGATTTATAATAATTGCTTATTAGATGTCCATCCAAGTGAGATATTAACAGTTTACAGTATATAAAATAGGTGACTATACTTTTGGACATGTTTTTAAATTCATCATTCTGAGAAAAACTTCACCATTCTGTTCTATCAGGAGGTGTTCTTTTGTAGGAAAATGTTGTTTTGATAGGAATAAATATTAGTCTAAACCTAGAATAATTATAGGTAAGTTTCATTGTCTAGTTTTGTTAATATCCTGAGCCTCTACCTAATTCATTTGTATAATTGATTGATTTCTAATGACCCCAGAGAAGCATAAATCCCAAAGGCTTAAAATTGATTTAAGGAAATAGCAGGTAAAGTGAGATAATATAATATATGTTTACACACTGTTTTCATGAAATTCAAATTTTGTGAACTCACATTAACTTGGAAACAGCCAATCCTGTGAAGATATATCCCAGATTGAAAATCTGGTTTGAATCTTTGAAGACGTAAAGGTGGTATCTGTTTCCTTTTCAGGGGACTATATGTTTGAATAGGGAGTAGCGTTTGGCATAAATCTGAGACTGCCATCAGCCAAATATTAGACATAGCCATTTCCCCTACTGTAAGCAGTAGACAAAACCAGAAAAAATTTTGATGACTTTTCAGAATGGTAGAATCAGCTTGTTAACATACTCTGCAAAATAAATTTCTAACTTGAGACTTAAAATATACTCCTGGGAGTCTATGACTGGAGTATAAAAGGTTGTTGGTTCTTATTTTGCATGCAAATCTAGGCTAGGGTAAAGTATATATAAATTTATTTTAAGGGAGATATGGTAAAAATTTTTAATCTCATCTAATATTTCTTTTGAGACAAACAAGAAACCTATTTTAGTACAAATACAAGGTTAGTTGTTTTAAGGGGACAAAAATACCTCAAGCTCCTCTTCAATTTTTTCACAAAGACAGAAGTAATACTCTTTCCCTAACCAGTGATTATAAAATGCTGTATGTTCATATTCATTTCTGTCATTCCAATAGTATAGTAATCTGGATATAATAGTAATCTGTTAAAATTAAAGTTAATACATTTTGTCCTCATAGAGTGTGGCAAAGTTCTTTCTATTTAGCAGATGATCAAAGATTGCTTAAATTTAGTAAGTCGAATGTCAGTGTCACAGTATCGATCAACTCAGAATTTAGCGCTTATGGGGATTGGTTGTTGTTTTATCCTGCTTTTCTTGAAGAATAAAAAAAGTTGTGTTAAATTTGCTGTAAAATAGAAACATTGGGTTTTCAATCAAATCAAGTGTGTATGTTTACTTAAAAAGATACTTAATGGCTAAGTTTAGTTTAGCATAGGTCTTCACTCCAAAAACTAATACTAAATTTTTATATAACATTTATATGAATAGTAATGCACACAATTCTTCCAGATTCTAAAATATAGTCATTGAGAAGTCCATAACAGGAATAGTGCTTGAGATAAGCTTTAGAAATACATTTTTAGAAATTAAACATCCAATTTTAAGGTATTTCATCCGAAACATGTTTATTTATTCACCACCTGAAATAATGTTATATCCTCTCCTTAACAACAATTAGGCTTTACACTTACCTGGAATTCCTCTGGGACGATTCCTACCCCTTCTCCCTGAGCAGCACTGCTTTCTTTATTAGAAATGATCCAATGCAGCCCGGACAGAATGATGTCTCCTAGATGTTTTTCCACTGACACCGTATCTAGAATCAGTACAAAATTTTTTGAAAAGTAGCAGATGAAATCAACACCTATGAAAGCATTCTTACCATTTTGTGCAGGGTGATGTAGGTGAGTGTAGTGGGGACTGGAAGTGTCATGGAAAGAATACACCAGTGTGGAAATGCTCATAGTGGATCAGTAATTCATTTCAAACAATTGAACTGCAGGCGTATTCAGTGTTCTGCCTCCTCGTTATACAATGTTTTTAATCCCCAGCAACAGATATGCGATCCTTATTTCAAGAAAAAAAAATAAGATACTTTACATGCCAGAAGATTTTTTGATGACAGCACCCCCTCCTATTCTTCATTTTTTAAAACAACAACCAAATTGGTGGGGAGGCAGCCAAAATTTGAGGTACCAATGCTTCTCGAACAGATGTCGCACCATTATTTTTTAGCTCGTTTAGATGAATAAACATGTTAAACTGTGAAGTATTACATTTTAGATTTTTCATTAAAAAAAGAGACAATCTGTTTACTGTCCTAATTGAGACAACAATCCTTGTGGTTGCCAGTTTTGGCAGTCATAACAATGAACTATAAATATTTGGACCAATCAAGTAAATGGTGGCTATAAAGGCTATAGCGTGTGTAAAGTTCTGTTTGCACGGGCACCCGTCTTAGTATGGCATTTTTTTTTCTGACTTCTTCAAATACAATTGTTTGTGTGAAACTGAAGTTTCATGGTAAGCCTAAAAGAAATTGATTTCAATATCTAATTCTTTCTAGTTTATCATCCATTTTAGTGTTCTGCTATCCATCTGCTTGTAACAAATTGCTTCTTTAGTTGTGCTGTTGTATGTAACAAGGCAGGTCTTCATTGGTTTGCCGTCTCTGTGTGTTATAGAGTAACATAAAATGCAGAGGTAGTATCTTTTTTAAGCTTTTTTAAAAATATATTTACAAAGTGATTTTAAAGGAATTTTGAATCTCTTAAATTGTAATGCTTAGTTTTGTAAAATAAGGTTTTTTGAAAAAAATTGTGGAGGATGCAACATTTGTTGTTATGATAACGAGAAGGCAAAGTGATCATAATCTAAGCCCCAGTTAACAGGTTTTGCTGGAAATATCAATGGCAGGTGATTGATAGACTAACGAGAAATAAACCACACCTGAAAAACTATTTCCAAACATTCATGATCCAAATAGAGATTTTCTGGGCTTCTCTGAGAGTTACAGCTCCCTTCTCCAACTCTTTCCCTTCTACCATTTGTTTGAACCTCACTTCTACTCTACTGGGTTAGCACTCCCTCGTATTTCATTGTGCACTCAGTGTGTTAACTACCTCTACCCTTACAATTATCCCTGGTCCTTACTTATTTTCCAATCTTTTATTTCTTAACTGCTTTCATTATTTTGCTAATCGTATGTATCACTCAAATAGAGACAATAATGAGGTGAACTTCAATATACTCTTCATTTTAACAATTATTAATATTTTCCACTCTTCTTGCATGTAAAATGATAACATTTTAGATACAAATTAATCAGTATGTCCATCTAGCTACAATGTTGTTTTTGTTTGTTGTTATATATGATCAGAAATCCATCATCATAACTAATATAATTATATACTATTTATTAACATCATATAATAAGTTAATATTCAGAGTTCCTTAATTGTCTCCAGGTGTCTGTTTACAACAGGTTTTGAATCAAAATCAATACTTCATTTGTTTGAGTGACTCCTAAAATTTATTTTTTACTCAGCTTTATTTCATGCCATTGATTTGCAGGTCCTTTTGAATAACCAGTATTCTAGATTTGGTCTTTTTCAATTCTTATGCAGTTTATTTCTCTATTTCTATATCTTCTGCAAATTAATATTTAAAGCATTGGCTAGATTAAGTACAGGCAAGTCTTTGTTCTTGTTATTTTTGTTCTTGTTAGTATTTGATGAACATAATACCAGATTTGCTCACTTATGGCTCTGTGAATTATCAGTGGGTTTGTGTGCTAACCTCCTAATTCCTTCCACAATAAAGTTTTAAAATATTTTATCTATAGCTTTAGCATCATTCATGATTGTTTCTTAGATCTGTTAGACATTACAACCATTTCTTGAGCATTTAGTATATGGAATTATTTTATTATTGTTATTGAAACCTATTTATACATCATTGTGTAATAATTGATACATTGATAACTTATAATGTTCAAACCAGAGTAATAAGCTCTTTCGTCTCTTCAAACATGAATCATTTCAATATGTTAAGTCTGCTGATTATTTTGAAATACACCATAGGTAATTATACACAACAGTTACCCTACTATGATACAGAAAACCAGATCTGATTGGTTCTTTCTGTGCTTCAGTGATCTTTATCTAATTTCTTTACACCCTTTCACCTTGTCCTTTTCATGCTCTATTAACTGCTATTCCAATTCATTCAATTAGATTTTTTAAAAGAATTTTGTCAACTGTTTGTTTAAGTAAAAATGTAGCTCATAAGGAAAGGAAGGATAAATACTTGAGTCTTCTCTTTGTCACCTTTCAGAGTTAAGAATTAGAAAACATTTCCATTGCTATTACTATTGCTTTTATTGTCATTGTAAACTGTAGATTTTATGTATTTGATACTCTCAGAGTATATCAATTATCATTCTTTTTAGTACTAAAATGAGAATTCTATTACTATGTTTAACATTAGAAATATTCTTATCAAAGTCATAGTTAATTGTTTTTGGAAATTGATAACCCATACAGTCAGATTTTTAGAACAGGTATAAGTGGCAGATATGGCAAAATGGAAAAAGTATATCTTTATGTAATTTGACTGGAAAACTAACGAAATGTTGAATGAGATATATGTAATATGCTCCTTTAGAAAACTGTATGTTAATTCATAGCTTTATCTGTATACGTTAATTATAGAATTAGTTAAATACAATTGAAAATTGTGTTTTACAATTGCAATTAAAATTATGGCTTATATAGAAAAAATTAAGAAATGTGATGAGTTTTATTAAAAAATACTACACAAAATGCCAAATGTGGTGGCCCACACCTCCATTAGCAGTGCTCTAGGAGGCAGGAAGAGACTAATTCAAGCCCAGCCTAGAAAAATTAGCAAATTAGTGAGACCCTGTCTCAAAATGCAATATATTAAAAAAAAAAAAAAGAGCTGGAGATGCAGGCTTTGGGCTCAATTTCAGTATTGAAAAAAGGGCTTGGCTTCAATTCCCAGTATTGAAAATAAACCCTCTAAAAGGAAAAAATAAAAGTCTTTAATATAAACAGATGAGTGGATTTCCTCTGTGCGAAGATTCAGTTATCCAAACATATATTTTTTTTTCCATTCTGGGAACAGAAATGGGAACCTTCATCTGTAAAATATTAAATACAATATTTTAAAGAAATCTTTCTTTAAAAATTTTAGTCTCCTGGATATCTGCTTGAATCTGCTGTATGGATTCCGTTTCTTTCCTATGTTGTGTATTCATGGCTTCCATCATTTTCCTAACATCTTCCAATTTTTTTTCATCTATATCTGCTCTAGAGACACTAAATATGTTTTTCATTGTGGTCCCCATCTCTGTGGCTATCTAAGAATTTATTTCTGATGTGATTTTTTTTCTAAAGCCTATTCATTTGCTTTGTTGTTGTCACTTCAGAGAGGCCATGTGGGAGGCTTTCGGATTGTTCCACCTCATTAGCCCTTGGATTTGCCCTTGGTGAACTGCATGTCTGGAGTTGCATCTTTGTTAAGTGTCTTCTCATTTTTTATTTTTTTAGGTTAATACTTGGGCTGATGCTTATAAATTGCCTATAGTAAGTTATTTTATTGCTATTGTTTAGAACCTTTATGAAATGATGAGTTCTCTGAGACTGTCTTCCAGATGTAGCTGGTTCTTGGGTTTTGAGTCTGTCGCAAGATTCTACCTCTTCTATTTGTTGAAAATGAGAAATTGCTACCTGTTTTGCTTAGCCCCTCATTCTTTGGCACTGGCTTACAGTATTTTCTGTGACCCTTAGGCAATCTCAGTATTGGTATACCAGACAGAGCAGCTGGTTAGAGCAATTGTATCACTTTGGCTAAAGTGGTATAATCAGCAATAACAGTAGCATTGAACATAGCCTAGAAAATAACAAACCAAGGTAACCATTAATTTGCCACATTTAACTCTATGAACTGGATTTATGGTTATATAAAAAAAAATCTAAAACAAACCAGAAAGTTATACGCAGTAAATAAGCCCTGAGAATGCCAATTTTACCTCAGGGAAGAAAATTTAGGGGAAAAAAGAAAAACAGAAGAAAAGGAAGAGAGGGTAAGGCTGGAGGACAAAAGAGGATTATGCAAATCTTGGGAAACTGCTACAGAAGGCACGGGAAAGAGAAAGAAGAAATAAAAGGAAAAACAGAACAGAATAGCCACTATTCTATGTTCACACTCATAGAAATAAGATCAAAGAATGAAGGAAAAAATAAGAAAAGACAGAAAAAAAAATGTGTCCTTCAAGATTTGTCCCTGCTGTCTCTGGTAGATGACATGTGGAGGACAGTCCGGCTCTGTGTTGATTTATGCCGAGAAGCCAGCATAGCTTTATAGGAGGATAGTGGACAATTTCAGTAAACCTGCACCTATGTTTTCCCTGAAGTTCAGGCTGGTTCTTGTCAGGAGGCTGGGGCCAGGCCCATTCAGCCTGCCGCAGTCAGTGCACCATCTGCAGGCTTGAATTCAGCGGGAAGTTCTAGACAGATCCAGCAGCTGTGCTGAATTCCGAGCTCAAGTGGACCCTCTCGGTGGTGTGTCTCCTGGCCAATGGCCCTCTCCCTTGGGACGTCCAATCCCATGGCACTCACCGCCAGCCGCTGCAGTCCTCCACATCTGCTGCTGCCTTCCAGTGCTGGGTCTCTCCGTGGAGACCTCTGAGTTTGACAGCACTTACTGTGTGTGTGTCCGCAGGTCTGAACCGCTCTCACACATTAAGTCCCGCCTCCGTGAGAAGGTACTTAGAAGTTTCTCCCATTGCTCTCCCCACGCGCTTCAACCCTTCCTTCAGATTCTTCCTGGGTCCAGGTCACCCACTTTGGTGTTTCTTGTCTTCCTCACATTGCTGTATTCAGTGTGTGGACGGCAGATCTTGAAGAAGCTTTTCTCTACTGCTTACCACCCCACCATCTTCCTGGATGCCAGATTTTCTCTCTTCTTACTGACCTTGAGAAGTGGCATTCATGCACAGCAGAGCTGCATGCTTGTCCATCAAGTAAGGGTTTATCCTCTGAGTAGAGGAGGCTCTGAGCTAAGACTTCTGTTTTCTATTCTGAATGAAGTTTCAGAGCAAGCCCTTAATTCTTCAGATATCTACTCACCTAAAGTGAAATATCAGGTTACAAAAGTATAAGTACTATGCTAATCAAGAAAAAAGTAGACCATCAGAATAAATGGTTTGTCCAGAAGTCCAACTATACACTTAATGCAACAAATGTCACAAAGATTAAAAAATGGATTACTTATTAAATGTGTTGTGATATTTGAATATCCTTTATTAAAATGCACACATTCCACGACTTAAAGCAATTTGTGATGAAATTATTTTTTTATGAAAAATGAAATCATAAAAATATTTTAAAAGAAATTGTAGGTAGAAACTTTTAGTAGAAAAATTATTTCTAAGAGTTGATTCATGATTCAAAAATGATAAAAGAAAAACTATTAGGTTATCACACATTAAATTAAAATCTAACATACAGTCTTGTACTTAATTAAGGGTGTGAAAAAACACTGTCTTTTACACAGTGCTTGAGGGAATACTAATCTCACACTTTCTGAAAAGCACTTTTACAGTATACTTTCAAAGCTTTATATTTCATACAACTTTAGAAATTCGTCTGAAGGTTACAATGCCAGTAGTATACAAAAACAAATAACGTATATTATCCATAGCATTGTTTGCAACATCAAAATATTGAGAGTAACATAAACATTCAACATAGGAATGTTTTAACGAATCATTTTATCTCCACAAAATAAACCTGATGCATTCATTACAGTGATATATGTTTATATGGAATGACATGAAAGAGACGTGAAAAGCAGTTGTAAAAGTTAAATGTAGTATAATTGAATCCTGTTCCAATGTGCATGTCTTTCTGTGTATGGGTGTGCTTTTTGAAATGTGCTCGAAAAATGTTTAGCATAAAAGTGTTTAGTTCTGAGTATAAAGTGTAAGTTAAGTGATTGTAACTTCTTTATATACAGTGAATCCTTCTGTCTCTGCTTTTCAGTGAAATCTAGAAGGGAAATATTTTGCTGAACTGTATCAAGAATCCAAATAGTAAAAAACAAACAACAAAAAAGTCCCAAAGCTTAGCAAATTTATCCCTGTTTTGTTCATTATGTTTACCTGTTTTTCATTTGTTTGGCAATTATTACATACCCGTTTCTGCTTTTTAACAGTAAGAAATTGAGCAACATTTAAGAAATGAACTAATACTTGTGTTAATTCATTATTCAAAAGTGTTTATTGAGCATTTACTAAATGCTAGTTGCTATTCTTATGTTTGCCACAAATCAGTGAGCATTAACACAGGAACAAAGTGTTTCTTTCTCAGAATGTAGTCTTAAAAGATTTTGCTGAGCTGTTTGATGGTTTAATCAAGCAGGTAAATAAAATAACACATGAGGGGAAAAACAGTAAGAATACAGAGATGTATTAATGCCCAGCATCTTCCACCTTGGGTCTCAAATAAAGAATATATGTGGCAAATTGAGGTGCAGAATGTTTTTTTTTTTTTTTGCCATTTTTCTTGGAAATAAGAAATTCTTCATTTTTAATATATTCTGATACTAATATTTATCAATTATGTGTGTATTTTTGTGGGGGTTTTTTTGGGTACTGAGGATTCAACTCACAAACCTTGCATTTGCCAGGCAGATGCTAATGTCACTGAGCTAAATCCCCAGCCCCTATTATTGTGTTTTAAATGCATTATGATTTCTGTCTTACATTTTCCTTTCTTTGAGGTACTAGTGAATAAAATCTTCTTGATTTTAATATGTCTGAACATATAAATTGTGTAGTTTTTAGTAGTTATTGAGATTAAAAGCAAACCTCTTGCCCCAGAGTCAAGAAAAGATTTCATGCATTTTTGAGACATTTTACATTTTTATTTTATATTTAAGACTTTAACCTCTACTAAATTGATTTTCATATCTGATTTCAAATTGCTTTTTTTCCCTTTGTTCAAATACCATCTTTTCAATGAAACCAACATATAACACCCAAGGTAAAATTGTGATTTCCTCACACCCTCTGAAACATCCCATTTTGCTTGCTTTTAATTTTCTCCCAAGCATTCGTTACCTCCTGTCATATTTATACATCAGTTCTGTGTTTGTTGTTCTGTTACTTATTGTAAAGTTATTCCCACCTTTCCATTTTGACTTCCTTTGTCATGGTCGGGTAGAAACAGATACAGTTTCTCAGATCTGGACTGTATTCAAGTTTATTCACTTGTTTTGCTTTAATTTATATATTTCATTGTCTAGTCCTACACTAGCACCAAACTATCCTGATATCTGTACAGAGATCACTAACTTGTGTGTGACTAGGTCAGCATCTGTTCTTCAGAGGTGACTATATTATTTACTTTCCTTTCAACTTCTGTCCAGTATTACAAAAAACTTTTCCAATAATCTGACAAGCCCTCCTAACATTTTTACTGCAATTCTATTACATCAGTTTAGGAATAATTCTCACATTTAATATATTCCACTTCTAGATCAGTGAACATGGCATCTTCCACTGGTCTTTTTCATTACTTTAGTAAATTTTTGTGAGTTTCTTCATAAAAATCTTATGTTTTGGTTAGAGCTGTTCATAGAGCTGTTCATAGATTTATGTTATACTAAATATTCATATTTTAAGTGACATGATTATTTTTCCATCCTCACAGTTTGAGCTAGCACCTCCATTACATGGCAGTATAGAATGTTAATCATGAG